AATAATTATATATTGTAGTCAAGCCATTCAAATTCATGATAATTATAACTGTAAAACATACAAATTATGTTTTTTACTATTATTTGACTAAATATATATACTGCTTATAGCGGATGTACAGTTTATTATTGGCACCACAGTCGCTGAGGAAAAAAAAACTCTCATAATTTTTGACAATAATCTGCTAAAATATTGACCAAAACATGTGAATTTCATTATTTGATTGAAAATAATACAGAAATTAGAAGAAAATCAAAAAGCAATGAAAAAGTTTCTCAATTACAATATTTGTTCCATTAGAAGTTCACAACATGGTAACAAGGTATGCTTGAAATCCAACATTACAGAGATGTGCTTCTAAAGGAGTAAATATAGTACAAATATTATTCATCTGTAAAAAACAAACAAATGATATATATTTTGTTCAAAAGATCATTTTACCTGTACATACATCTTGAATAGTGCAAAGAGAAAATTGTAAAATACAAGGTTCAGTGGCTACGCAATTGAACAATTTCAGAAGAATACAGATTTTCATTTTTCAAGTATAATTACATTTACATTGGCAACAAAAACTTGTATATTGCTGTCTAAAATGAGGCTGACGTCAAACACCGAACCGAAGATTTCACTCGCCATTGTAACATTTGTAAGGTTAATTGAAAAATATACCTCTATGAAAGATTAACCATGACTTCAGTTCAGTTTAGAGAGGTTCAATCTAGTGTTCAGTTTAGAGAGGTTTAATCTAGTGTTCAGTTTAGAGAGGTTTAATCTAATGTTCAGTTTAGAGAGGTTTAATCTAGTGTTCAGTTTAGAGAGGTTTGATCTAATGTTCAGTTTAGAGAGGTTTAATCTAGTGTTCAGTTTAGAGAGGTTTAATCTAGTGTTCAGTTTAGAGAGGTTAATGTGTGTTCAATACTGACGAGTGGAAACAAATGTTCAGCTTTGACAGGTTCAACCAAGTGTTGGGTTTAATCATATTTAGTTGTGACAGGTTCAACCAAGTGTTCAGCTTAGGTGTTTCAATTTGACAGATTCACCCAGATTTGTGATACCACTAGATTAACTACATAAATGAGCATTAGTTCAGGAAAAAATATTTAACTACATCAGTTACCATAGTGATACAACACAAACCTACATCTAAGTATTAAACTGAACAGATATTGTAAAGAGATAGTGGAATCAATTTCACCTCTTAATGCTGCAATCTACTCACATTGGTAGTATTAACAAGCTCAATAGTTGTTGTAAAAAGTAGCTGGCACAAAATGGTACACAAGACATAAAATTCATAATTCCCTTAAAAAAGTACAATGTTTCTTCCATAATTTCACATCAATTCTAGAAATGGTCATGAAATCAGCCACCTTATACAGAATACTGGATGTTCAAGCCCTGGTACAACGTTGTTTTATTTTTCTATTTTTGCAATTTATTGTTGTCTGAGGTAAAGAGCCATTTTTTTTTTAAATCAAGCAGATTTTTATAATTGAGAATTTTGATGTGAGTGCGTGTGTGAGTAGAAACAATTCTGTTCCCATAACTACATTAAAGTAGTATTCTCATAAACATTATCTCTGTAATTATTCAAAGATTCCAAGAAAATTTCCCAGAAATGCTTTGAATGCCATAATCTTACCCTTCTTACCTTTGGTGCAACATTCTGCAGATTTTTCTGTATTGTTCTTAATTTTAAACCAAATAGACATTTACCATTGACTACAGTTCTTGTTAACATTTTTTAAAATTGTTTTTCAATGTTGAAAAGTTGATTTTGGCATTTAAGTGGTCAACAAGTATAATTAGATTAGGATAATAACAGTGCATGTTACACGAGCTGATATAAGAATTGTCCTGAGCAGTGAGAAGAAATACCTAATGTGATTGGTTAGTGAAACAGGTGCTTGGAAATTTAATCCAATCTCTGAAAGTCTTACAAAAGATCTTAATGTTTTTTGATTGGATGAAGACCAGTTGATGGATGACATAGACCAATCAAAGTGAGTTTTATATAAAACCATGGTCACTTTTCAATAATATAACCAATCAGCCCAAAATGACAGTATAAAGTTTCCCTGCTGAAAATGAACAAAGTTTTTCAAAATGACATCACAGGTGCAGAGTAATAACAATTTTTCAAAGAGATGTGGCCTTAGAATACTTTTATTTTGTTATTATTTAATATCATAAAATCAGAATAATAAGTTAATACATAAAATGATAGGCATTCTCAATCATGGACACAATGCTGCACAACGTAGTAAGTATTATAAGGTTCACTCTCTATACACTGATAATGGAATCTACCAGCTTCACCAGATTGGAATACAGGAATCAATTTTGACATTTACAGATCATGATGGCTGAGAAAATCTTTTTTTTAGAAAGTGATAAATCATGAACTTAAACTTAAATTCTGAACATTAATTTTAAAAATTGGTAAAGGGCAGGTTTTATGTTTTCAATACCAAAATATTTCTATACATGGATTAGACCACTAAGTTTTAATCTTACCGATAGACACTGTTTATAATCATTGACTATTTTTAGGAGATAGATAATCTTCCTGGTACAAATGTCATTATTGTTATTTATTCTGGGACTGAATTAATTTATAAGAACGTAATGTGACCCTATGTATTGGCTTGCGTTACTTACCACAATAAATCAAATTACATACTAAAATCCTCAAAATAGCCATAATTCTCAGTCTTAATAATGACATATACATGTAAGTGTACATCAACTACCATTATCTGCACCAATGCTTTTTTTATTTAGGTTAGACGGTCAAGATGAATACCATAAATAGCACCAGGTCAGAGGGACAAAGTGCATACGGGTATTGCAGGATATATTCAGTGGTGAAACTGGCAAAGAAATGTAGACCTAACTCAAACAGCAACAAGACACCCTAACAATTGAAGCACACATGGTTAATTAAACAGAACAATGTCAAAAATGACATGGATTGATTAAAAGTTAAAATTTTGAAATACAGATTTTGTCAAAGAGAAATACTCATCCAAGCAGATTTTATTACAATACCATGCATGTTTTATATTAAGCGAGAAATCAAACAAAAATCCTTGTTTCTGTAAATATGCATTCCTGTGAAATCCTCATATAGAAACAAGCCTCCCACCCAAATCATATCAATGAAATAACCAATTTTGTTATGTCACCTCTCTCATTAAATGGAATGACCCAAACTGAGGTTTGTAAGGATGGGTACAGGTAGTAGTGCTACACATCCCGCACATTAAATAGAATAGCCCAAACTGAGATTGATGGAAATACAGTACAGTTAACAGTGCAATACACCCTTCTAATTAAATGGAACAATCCAAACTGAGGTAGGTGAGATGGATACAGGTAGCAAAACTTCACACCCTTATCATTAAATGGAACAATCCAAACTGAGGTAGGTGAGATGGATACAGGTAGCAAAACTTCACACCCTCCTCATTAAATGGAATGACCAAACTGAGGTTGGTAGACATGAGTGAATCCCTGCAATTGAAGGGAAGATGTCACACCCTTCTCATTAAATGGAATGACCCAAACTGGAGGCAATGGCCAGTGCTGTATGGTAATGGAATGCAAGGTTGAATAGGTCATGTACTGATATCCCACAGCTGGACACCATTAACCTCCTCAATGATAAAGTAGGCCAGATTAAGGTCACTCAGAGACACTTTTTCCTCCCACTCATTATTCAATTTTAGACAAAAAAGACCATTTTTTATTCAAGGAAATTGATTTCTGCTCAAATTTTCTAAAATATTTTATCCAGTAATAATTACTTTTGTCCAATATTTCACACAAAGAAGTAACAAATGAAAGCAAAAGAGATTTCTACGATTTATTTTTTAGCAGAAATAAATTGCCAATAAATATTATATTAACTCAGTAGCTGAATTAAATTTAGGTCAATCTATGAATACAAGTCAGGCAGACATGTTATTTTCCAATTCATCAAATGGAGGTGATTATTTTATCATTCAATATCAGAGTACCATTATACACGTTTTTTTTACAAGACAAAATATAACAAATTACTACGAATTTTTTCTGCAGCCAAAATGTTAAAATTATAAATCCAACTCCAATTAGTAAAGAGTTTCCTAAACTGCCTCAGTTTAAGTACTTTTTAACTCGTTGACCCTGTTCAGGGAGGGTGTTGGTGGGCAGAGTGGAGTGATTCAAGAGTGCATTACATAAAAGAAAGCAGCTTTGTATACAATGGCAGTTAACATATTGCACCTATTTTTGGTGAAACCAACTGACAATAAACAGTAAATTATTACATATATCTAGGCCAATATTCTCCCTGCCTGATAGCCGATAAGAAGCGTTAATGTTAATATGTACCCCACCTTGGAGCAATAAGACCAATAAATACCACGCAACAAGGGCAATATAGATGATAAGTACTCCACATTATTGATTAAATCCTGATGTTTCCAATCTAACATTTAGAATAACAGCTCATTAAATTCTGTACTTTTAGTATATTTTTTTCAAATCTAGAGTCATTTAGAAGGACCTTGAGGAGCTCAGCAGTGATGTAATTACAATCAATGTGTGGTGTATTTTCAAAATTCTAACAGGATTCTAATACCAGCAATGTTCATTATGGCTATACTCTAGATATTAATGGCTACTTGCATATTTCTATGATATGCACATCATGTATAAAAGGGCACCATACCATGCCCTCTGTAACGAATATCACTACCACAAGAATCCAGAAAAGAATATGGTTACCATGGCGATCACAATCAGATTAACTCATCTCTGAACCTCGAATAATGACCAGATTAAAATATGTTCTTTACAAAAGATGTAGGTTAAATATATTTTCTCTACACCTGTGTTTGGTTTCAAATTCATCATTTAGAAAAGCGATAATCTTACAACTAGTTCAAACTTTCTCAGATACATGTATAGATCATATGTGTAGAAAGTGATTGGGATATTTGAATTTTAAATTTTTTTTTTTTTTTTAAATTTACAAAATGTATTTGTGCAGTGCAGTAATATTAGCATCAACTATTAATTCTTAGCAGTATTTGTACACAAATCATTTAACCTTCCGCCCCTATATTTGTTGTGGAAAGACCTGAATAGTGACAACAGTAGACTATTCTACTGTGGTAATAGGAAGGGTAGGTATAAAATGATGTATGAAAATCTGGTAACACATGATATGTGGAATAAGAAAAAAACATTTACAATTGACCATTCCATTATGAATTTGGGGTTCGAAGGCAACCTTCATGAGGATCTCACTTGGACATTATTAGCAACCTATCTTTATTATAAAACACTCAAAAGAGCTAACCTTCCACCCCCATATTTAATATACATGGCACAATCCAAGTAGATCATTCCATTAATTTAACAGGGGAGGATAGGTTGGTCACCCCAGTAGTCCGATTTCCAATCTATTTACTTTCTGTACACACTACTGTATTTACATTTGTCACCTAAAAATATTTACATTAACAATAAAAAGAAACATGAAATAAAATTTGGAAAGGATTGTACAGTGATCTGACTTTTTTGGTACTATTATCTTAAATTGTGTAATTGCTACATACAATAAATTGTTCACCCTTGATTATAAAAATAAAGAGATACTTTTTGAACAATGTTGAACTGCAAGTAAAACAGCAATCAGTTTCTTACTTGTCGCAGGATAGTTGAACATTGCTCTTTGTACTCAAACAAATCCAATTTCTTTGTTTTTGTCTCACTTGTACTTGGTTGGCAGCTCAAACACAACAAGTACATTATCCTGGTATGATTTCTGACCTGTAATAAAAAAAGTAAAGAAACAGAAACATGTTAGTTTGTACAATAATATCAACTTTAACAGTTAACCAATTGGATGCCAAAGTCAACAAAATAAAAACAAACCATCTTTTATTTCCAGATATTTTTCATAAATTTTGATCAAAGTCTGTAAAAAAATGTAATTAAAAATGTTGGCTAAAAACATTTGAAAGTTTAAAGCGGGGGAGTCGTCACCTGCGTATGCGTCAGATGGCCATAGCGTGTCATTGTTTACAAACAAGCGTATACCCATGAGCCTTTGCATTTGTGTGTTGTTATCGTCGCTTGGGACTCAATTCCCGCATATGTGCAGGGGACGACCCTCTCTCTTTAACGAATCATTCAGAAAAAGTTATTCTTTAATTAACATAGTCATCCACGCAATATACCATGTGTTACTCATGTTATGAATATTAATTGAAGACATTGTCCTCAATGTCACGGTGACTTTCAGATTTTGTCATTATTACATTGATTGAAATACGGTAGTCGTTTGATACAGATACTATTCCCATATGATGTACATAGAACATGTAAGTACTTGTGTTGGTATTGCAATCATTAGCTGTGATGATTTTGCAAAGGTGGACTTGTATACGCAGACATGATTTAACCCCCACCCCAATCACCCCATATCACCCTTATATGATATCCTTAGGTTATTCTCATACCATTCCTCATACCTTCCATATTAGATAAAACACAATAGGTATTCAATACTGATCAAAGTGATTACATTTCTTCATGGTTTGTCATCCATACAACAATTATCAAGACAAAATGAAGGAAAATATTGAACTCCCTAAAGAAATAGATAATAAAAAAAAAACATTTATATATGAAGTTATGAAGTCTTTGAATCCTTCACTCTACAAAACTGTATATACCATATTTGTTCTATTAGAAGTGTATCTCCAATATAAGGGTACAAAAACCAAACAACCGCATTTATTGTATACTGCTTCATTAATATATGACTAATATTTAACACCACCTTTTTGTATATAAAATAAATATGCCCATATTAAGTTTGGTAGTCTTCGTACCATGCATGCACAAGATATATGGGTCTTATATGAACAAAGATGGCGCCTTTGACTATTTCGCAGATCAACGAGTACAAACTGAGATGTTACCAAGCTTTAATTGTGTATTTTTAGGTGATTGGAAAGTATCGAAGGAGTCACCGGTGGTAATAATTGCAAGTCGCACCCAGGTTAAACCTCATACTTACATGTCCACTACATTTCAAACTGATTGACTGTATTGAATGAGATGGAGTTCAGTACCGGTCATTAATTATACAATATATCACAGTAAACACATAGGTCAAACCCATAGGTCAAAACTCTTTTGGACAAAACAATGATAAATTCTCAACAAGTAGCAGCACTGAACAAACTGATGGTATTCGTAATGCGTTCCAGATTTGGGAATTCAAAATATACAAACAACCATATAAGTTGACATATGCAAGAAATGTCAATTGCTAAATGTGGCCATAGTACTCACAAATGAAAACAAATGAAAGAAAGAGTTAACATTTAGCACTTTTCATAAATTTGCATATTTTTCCCTTTGAATCCAAAGATTTTAATCACATGCATCTAATTGGCAATTTTGTTAATCTGGTTTAAAATTAAGAAAAAAACTTTCGAAAAACATAAAATATGCAAAATATTAAATATTGAGTTGTGAAACATTATAACAATAAAAAGATCATAATCTCCTTGAAACAAACAAATAAATGTCTGTTGATGTCTGAGAGACGGTTAAACAAGATAACATATCTCCAATAGAAATGCAAGTAAGAGAAAATTTGTATATATTGTCAAAATATGACTTATTTTGACCATAGACCATTTACATGTGCTACTAATAGAACAAATATGGTATGGATAATTTACCCAAAATACTTAAATCTTTAATAATCACTAAAATGACACTGCCTGTGTGACCTTGTGTTCTGACTCAACACGATGTACTTTTGTATGATACTTAAATAGATTACGAGGCTTTATTCCAATCATGGAAATTAGGTCACGCAAGTATTTTATATGAATAATTCAGCAAAAGGAGACCAGCAGATTTCACTATGTCACATTCTAAATTAGTGGCACGATATTAAGTACGCAAGTTAAATTTAATACATGTATCTGGCAACATCCACAAATAGTAAATTAACGTCGAAGCATATTTATCTTCGCGATACTAAATGTGTTTCTATTTTTATAATTTTAATTATTAATGTTGTACATGTAGTAGTAACATTCGACCAAATTTTGTTTTCAACTGAAGGTGACCGTAAGGTGTAATCACTGTGTTTCTGGTGAAGCCGTAAATCACATACTGCATTTTAATTTTAAATTTGAGTATGCCGGCCTTCTCTGGCAAAAATTACCCATTTTAAAATTCAACCCCATGTAATTTTCACCCTAAATGACTAACAAGTTAATAAACACATAATTTGATGCGAACTACCATGTAACACAATGTACATGTATCTAGCTGAAAATTGTTGTTTGAACAACAAATTGCTTTCCAACTGTCTAGGTATTGTTTACATGTGCACAGCCAGATGTCTAGGTAATGTTTGCATGTTTATAGGGTCTTTACATTCTAGCCCAGTATTACATGTATCAAACAAAAATAGCAACAAGCTTATGCCATTTAAATTTGTAATTTCTTTTTATTATTTAGCTTTACAAATAACTAGGGAAACTCAAATACGATAGGTGAAATGACCTATACTAGTAGGGCTCTCAAAAAGTCCTTGATGAAAGCAAATTTTCATTAAAATCAGTAAACATTTTCAATTCATAACTCATTCTCAGCCAAAACAAAGACAATCAATTTTGAAAACAATCTTGTTGTTGCTGGCCTTACACGTTTTAATACATACATGTATCGTCTATACACTCAAGTTCCAGAACTATATTAAACATTGGACTTGTTACTTGCGTAGTGATTTTATAACCCTTTCACCACCATTTTCAACTCTAGCCATCCTCCATTTTGTAGTCCCGATTGTTAGCAAGAATATCATCAATTGAAATTGTGAATTATTTCTGACCAAAAACTGTGATTCATATTTCTGTTAATACATGGAATATGTAGCGCCAGTATTTGAGCACAAATTGATGAGTTTAAGGTTCAGTATAAAACAATTCAAAATGTTGGTTCATGTGCGCTTCTAATAAAATAAATATGGTAAGCAGGGATTTTTTTAATCAAGGGAACAGGGGCGCAGTGCCCTTATGCCATGCGTCCCCTTACCCTGGGAGCAGATCCTCTGGCAACCATAAAATTCTGTTTGACCAGGGATCACATGTGGCCACAGTCTTCAACTGTGACCTGTCTGATAGTAATTTTGGCCCCAAGGAAGCCATAGAATGTTCAACTTAGAATGATCAAAAACTCCACACCCTGGTAGGAAGAACCCTATCTCCCCCACTTGGTGGCTCCACTAAATTGCAGTGCTCCCTCTTGCAGTTTTTTTCTAGAAAAACCCCTGGGTAAGTACAATAAATACAATTTTTGGTTAAAGCGACTACCATAATTAACGTCCTGCTAATCAAGAGAATACACTACGTACAAAAAATAGCGGGTAAACGCCTATGACCAGAAAAAAAAAAAAAAAAAATGTGTTCTTGAGTTGATATAAAAAAAAAAATTAAGGACATTACAGTCAAACAGCAGCAGTTAATAAAAATCAAGCAGCGGAAAATATAAGCGATACAAGTTAGTAGTCACACAATCTTGATATTTTTCATGTTGTGTCATGATTATTTTAAATCACCTGACACGTACACACACTGTTTTGGAAATATCTACATGTGTTACTTACCATACCGTGCAAATCACTCGTTAATTCACGCCTGTTGGCATTTGAGACATTACAGGTTGAATTAACCTACATTTTACACAGTAGGGTGAAATCAATTACAGCATTTAAACATGGCAATTCAAAGTATAAACCCAGAACATTCACACTTCCCATGAAAGTAATATTTAGATTGTGTATTTTACGATTGAAGAATTAATTTACATACAAATAAATGAGAGAAAAACAAGATTGGACACATACTCCATGATAGCTGACCCAACAGGATGGAACTGCTATGTTCGACAATAATTTCAAGAAAATGTTTCAAATCCTTAGTTACCCAAACATTCAAGCCAATCAAGGAATACGTTACAGTAGGTTTGAGGACCAATCACATTCTGCCTAACAAAATAATAAACTTGAGTAGGTCATGGTGCTCTGCATGTATTTTGTAATTCTCAAGACAAAGTATTAAAATCAACTATTGAAAGATTTTGAGCAGAATTTTAATATTAAAGTACTATAAAGTAATTTATTTTCACTTGGAATTCATTTTCACTATTTTTACTGACAGGATGATTCAGTGAAAATAAAATCCACTGAGTAACTCCAACTCCTCAAAAATCAGTGAAAATAAACTCAATACAAAACAGTCAAAATGTATTTTCAGCAAAAATTAATTCTAGCTAAAATAAATTATTTTAAAGTAGAGCATATGTGTATGCAATGCACTATGGGAGAAAACCTTCCGGTGTATACATTGTACTATATAGTTGAATTTTCACAGCATGTCACAGAGCAATATTTCAGAATTAGTTTCACGAATAAATGATAAAATGCAAAATTATCTGGTGACACTTAAATTTTTTTCGTTTCGCATATTTTAAACACATGATCAATAATCACAAAAAAACAAAAACAATGATATTATTTTCATCTTTTAAGTTTGAATGTTTTTAATAATAATAATTTGCACATACTGAGAAACAAGACTACCCGTAGTGAATACAAATTTGGCAAATGTGTCAAACATATCAGGAATAAATTGCTAACATACAAAGGTATAAACGCTGACTAACGACCTTCTGTAGCTGAATGATCATACTGCATATTAAAGAAAACCATAAAATAACAATCTGTGTTGTTTTATTGC